AATCACACACCCTCCTCCTCTTTTGAGACCCTTTATGGTGTATGAAGTTTTAGATTATCTCAAGTAAGTTTGATACAATAGGATTGGTTCTCACACCCTTCACCCCTTCCCATTTTCACCTGCATGAGTCTCTTATCATCAGAAAACATTATTATGCTGTGCAAATATTATTAGCAGAGATTTGTCATGTATATGCTTCAAACCCACCAGCCACTCCTTGGAAGGAAGATGGAGCACTCTACTTCTACTTCCATAGTGATACTGCCTCGGAAACCCAAGGAGGGGTCGCTATGAGTTGGGTCTGACTCAACGGCACATAACAACAACATATGCTTCAATCAGGACCTTAGATTTAAGACAAAATAGGACTTGGTTCAGATTCAGATTCAGATGTTATGTGCCGTCGAGTCAGACCTGACTCATAGCGACCCCTCCTTGGGTTTCCGAGGAGGTATCACTACGGAAGTAAATTGCCCAACTTTCCTTCCGAGGAGTGGCTAGTGGGTTTGAACTGCCAGCCTTCTGGTTAGCAGTCAAGTGCCTTAGACACTATGCTACCAGAGCTCCCTCAGATTCAGATAGTAATATGCAATGGTGCTTGTCTGACAGCAGTTGGAGGAAGCTAGCAACTTGGAGACAAAAGGGAAGAAGATTGGAGTACAGGGGACCTCCAGGTAGCTTGCAAGGTGGGCTGGGCTCTGACCAGAAAGTGCAATGAGAGAAAACAGTAAGGAAATGTCTGCAAGGTTCTTCTGGTCTCCTAGGTTTTTCTTGGTGTGAAAAGATGGGTTGAGTGAGGCCTGATGAATTTCTGGACATAGGGGTGGGTGGAGCATAAAAGGTTTGTTTCAGCCATTAGGTAACCTAAAAACTGAACCAAAAACAAAGTAGGAGGTCTCACATTGCCGGATCTCAAAACCTACTATACAGCCACAGTAGTCACAACCGCCTGGTATTGGTTCAATGACAGATACATAGACCAATGGAATAGAATTGAGAACCCAGATATAGATCCATCGACCTATAGTCAGCTGAACTTTGACAAAGGCTCAAAATCCATTAAATGGGGAAGAGAATGTTTGTTTAATAAATGGTGCTGGCAAAACTGGAGATCCATTTGCAGAAAAA